CTACTGTGTGTCGGGTTGATGGTAGATGTTGTAATGCAGGTATGGTGAGGCTACTGTGTGTCGGGTTGATGGTAGATGTTGTACTGCAGGTATGGTGAGGCTACTGTGTGTCTGGTTGATGGTAGATGTTCTAATGCAGGTATGGTGAGACTGCTGTGTGTTGGGATGTTTGTAGATAATGTACTGCAAGTATGGTGAGGCTACTGTGTGTCGGGTTGATGGTAGATGTTGTACTGCAGGTATGGTGATGCTAATGTGTGTCCGTTGATGGTAGATGTTGTACTGCAGGTATGGTGATGGTACTTTGTGTATCGTTGATGGTAGATGTTGTACTGCAGGTATGTCAAGACTATTGTGTGTCTGGTGGATGGAAGGTGTTGTACTGAGGGTATGGTGATACTACTGAGTCTGGTTAATGGTAGATGTTGTTCTGCAGGTATGGTGAAACTGTTTTGTGTCTTGTTGGTGGAAGGTGTTTTGCTGCAGGTATGGTGAGACTGATGTGTGTCTCGTGTACTGCAGTTATGGAGAGACTACTGTGTGTCTGGTTTATAGTAGATGTTCTACTAGAGGTATGGTGAGACTGTTGTGTGTCTGGTGGATGGTAGGTGTTGTACTGCAGGTATGGCGAGGCTACTGTGTGTCTGGTGGATGGCAGGTGTTGTACTGCAGGTATGGTGAGGCTACTGTGTGTCTGGATTATAGTAGATGTTCTACTAGAGGTATGGTGAGACTGTTGTGTGTCTGGTGGATGGAAGGTGTTGTACTGCAGGTATGGCGAGGCTACTGTGTGTCTGGTGGATGGAAGGTGTTGTACTGCAGGTATGGCGAGGCTACTGTGTGTCTGGTGGATGACAGGTGTTGTACTGCAGGTATGGTGAGGCTTCTGTGTGTCTGGTTAACGGTAAAGGTTGTACTGCACGTATGGTGATGGTAGTGTGTTTTCGTTTGATGGCAGATGTTGTACTGCAGGTATGGCGAGGCTGATGTGTGTCTGGTGGGTGTCAGGTGTTGTACCGCAGATATTGTTAGACTGCTGTGTGTCTGGTGGATGGTAGGTGTTGTACTGGAGGTATGGCGAGGCTACTGTGTGCCTGATGGATGGTAGATGTTGTGCTGCAGGTATGGCAAGGCCACTGTGTGTCTGGTGGATGGCAGGTGGTGTACTGGAGGTATGGCGAGGCTACTGTGTGTCTTGTGGATGGTAGATGTTGTACTGCAGGTATGGTGAGGCTACTGTGTGTCTGGTGGATGGCAGGTTTTGTACTGCTTGTATGGTGAGACAGCTGTGTGTCTGTTGGATGGTAGATGTTGTACTGCAGGTATGGTGATGGTACTTTGTCCCTTGATGATTGTACATGTTGTGCTGCACGTATGGTGATGGTATGTATGTCTTGTTGATTGCAGGTGTTATACTGCTGGTATGATGATACTACTGTGTGTCTGGATAACGGTAGATGTTGTACGGCAGGTATGGGGATGGTAGCGTGTGTCGGGTTGATGGTAGATGTTGTACTGCAGATATGGTGAGGCTAGTGTGTGTCTGGTGGATGGTAGATGTTGTACTGCAGGTAGGGTGAGGCTAGTGTGTGTCTGGTGGATGGTAGATGTTGTACTGCAGATATGGTGAGGCTAGTGTGTGTCTGGTGGATGGTAGATGTTGTACTGCAGATATGGTGAGGCTAGTGTGTGTCTGGTGGATGGTAGATGTTGTACTGCAGATATGGTGAGGCTAGTGTATGTCTGGTGGATGGTAGATGTTGTACTGCAGGTATGGTGAGGCTAGTGTGTGTCTGGTGGATGGTAGATGTTGTACTGCAGGTATGGTGAGGCTAGTGTGTGTCTGGTGGATGGTAGATGTTGTACTGCAGATATGGTGAGGCTAGTGTGTGTCTGGTGGATGGTAGATGTTGTACTGCAGGTATGGTGAGGCTAGTGTGTGTCTGGTGGATGGTAGATGTTGTACTGCAGGTATGGTGAGGCTAGTGTGTGTCTGGTGGATGGTAGATGTTGTACTGCAGATATGGTGAGGCTAGTGTGTGTCTGGTGGATGGTAGATGTTGTACTGCAGGTATGGTGAGGCTAGTGTGTGTCTGGTGGATGGTAGATGTTGTACTGCAGATATGGTGAGGCTAGTGTGTGTCTGGTGGATGGTAGATGTTGTACTGCAGGTATGGCGAAGCTACAGTGTGTTTGGTTGATGGTAGATGTTGTACTGCAGGTATGGTGAGGCTAGTGTGTGTTTGGTTGATGGTAGATGTTGTACTGCAGGTATGGCGAGGCTACAGTGTGTTTGGTTGATGGTAGATGTTGTACTGCAGGTATGGTGAGGCTAGTGTGTGTTTGGTTGATGGTAGATGTTGTACTGCAGGTATGGCGAGGCTACAGTGTGTTTGGTTGATGGTAAATGTTGTACTGCAGGTATGGTGAGGCTACAGTGTGTTTGGTTGATGGTAGATGTTGTACTGCAGATATGGTGAGGCTAGTGTGTGTTTGGTTGATGGTAGATGTTGTACTGCAGGTATGGCGAGGCTACAGTGTGTTTGGTTGATGGTAGATGTTGTACTGCAGATATGGTGAGGCTAGTGTGTGTTTGGTTGATGGTAGATGTTGTACTGCAGGTATGGTGAGGCTAGTGTGTGTCTGGTTGATGGTAGATGTTGTACTGCAGGTATGGTGAGGCTAGTGTGTGTCTGGTGGATGGTAGATGTTGTACTGCAGATATGGTGAGGCTAGTGTGTATCTGGTGGATGGTAGATGTTGTACTGCAGGTAGGGTGAGATTGCTGTGTGTCTGGTTGATGGCTTGTAGTCGCGGCTCTCACATGATCTAAGCCCTTAAATGAAGTTGTTTGAGGAGCACTTGTCCACACCTGTTTCAGTTTGTATCAAGTATGGCCTACACACATGAAACTGTGTACTTCGCATATTATAAATACTCTATGTGCGACGCTTGCTTTCTGTTGTCTGACGGTAATAATGGAGGTAAACATCGAAACAAAGAGGAGCCACTGTACTGCAATTCGTCGTCTGCATTACATTATATTTTATAAATCCCGAGCTGCCTGACAAGGAAGAACAAATAAAACAGAAACTTCGGCACGTGGGAGATCTGCTTCCTGTCACATATCAAACAATCACTTAACATTCACACAAAAAGTAGTTCAATGTATGTTCACCGAATGTTGTTTCATAAGCCCTTCCCTCATTGTCAGTTTCGTGTTTTGACGTGATATTGAGGTCATGAATATATTTATGCCTGTGACATGATTCATTTTGGAAATGTAGTATTACTTAACAGGAAATTAAAAATATTTTATAACCCTTTCTACAACCATAATAAATCCACTAAAAGCAGAGTCGTTTGTACGATTCCGTCTAAATCATAAGAACATTGTTATAAATCACTTTCAAAAAGTGATCATATCAAATGTTCGCGAAATGAGCGCATCCTGTCCTAACGGTCACTTGGCCCCCGTCACAAACACATGCACGTGATGCATTATCCAGACATTTAGATTCAAAAGGTCGGCTTCCAATATCACTTGAACAAATATTTGTTGCTGATTAATGCTTGATGTTCAAATGACCTGTCAACATTTGCTTGTGTTCGGCAGCTGAATTACACTATCCATGCAGCAACACACGAATATTGTGTCATAAATTTATATTAGGAAGATAAGACATCAGTGAGTGAGTGAGTGAGTTGCGTTAAACGCCCCTTTTAACAGTATTCCAGTTATAACACGGTGTGTCAGCTTATGTGGGAGGCAAGCCCGAAGTGATGCAAGTCTCAGACTTTTACAATTTCGATGAAACGGGTTTGGAGCTAACAAACCTAGAAATGTAATCGGAGCGAACCGGGATTCGAACCCACAATCATAGGTTTCTGGCGTGCCCAAGGGACGTAACTCTGTACAGCAAATCGCGGTGCCTTAGACGACCGGGTTACCCATGCCCCTATATGAATCATTAATGTTAACGTTAAGATGCAATATTAATGTATTTACTTGTAATCTTATTATAAATAATTGTGATTGTTCTTAAATGCCACAAAATGCATTATTCCAGCTATACGACGGCGACCTGTAAATAACCGCACCAGACAATCGAGACACGAGACACGATGACAGGTATTCTACGATAACAATAAAAAATGCTTGATTTTTTTCTATTTGGTAAAAAAAGGCAATTTCATCCAATTGGTACCTCTTGTAAATGAAACCTTTTAAACCTAATCGCGATCTATCGATGGCCTGTGCATCGATACATATAACAATTGTTGTCGATTACCCATTACAATTTTGTAGACATTCGATATCAGAAAAATGTTTATCAAACAAAGAAATTGATTTGAGAAAACACCCTCACTAACCACTGTATCTAGGCCACATCATCATCATTCAAAACATGACCAGTCTCTCTCGTCCCGTCATCTGCATCTAAAATCAGAGTGTGTTCGTCGGCAATAGTTGTGTCAATAGAATCATTTACGCGAATCATTGTGTTAATTTTGAATATAAGTACAGATCGGGATTACCCTTATTTGGTCGATCCCCAGGATGTCTCCGTGGTCCGGTGGATAGCGAGAGTACCCAGAGAACTTTACCGAGAGATGCGTGTGAAGACTAGAACAAGTGCATATGTGTATCAAACACTTTATGTAATTCAGATTATGGCTTTTTTACATAAGTTTACATAAAGCTCTGAGAAGATCTCTTTCACGTGCTTAAGTAGACAGATATTTTTTTCTGGTTCGAGTAATGATTTATAAGATGAATAATCATCAAGGAAAGAATAATTGGTGATTTTGTAATAACGAAAGTACCCAGAGAACTTTACCGAGAGATTTGTGTAAAGACAAGAACAAGTTGGTATGCATACCAAACACTTTATGTAATTAAAAGTATACACTTTGTAGCTGTGTTATGATGCATCATTTCTAATTTGTGTAAACATGTGGCATTACAGGGATGAAGGCGTGAAGTCGTGTGTCCTGTCAGTTCTGTCCCCAAAACAATAGATTCGCAGCTAGAGCCTTGGTTGATTTTATTTATTTGTGTCATTACTTATCACAGAGCTCCCATTACTCATCAAAATCACTACTCATATTACTATCATCAAAGTCACTATCTGATAGAGGTATGTCACAGTCTTCTCCAAACGTGCTCAATTCCATGTTCTCAGCAGGTGCGTGTTGTTCTGCGTCTGTCACAGTAGGTGAAGCATCTGAGACACCAAGGCCACAATCCTCTGCTCCCCACATGGATGCATCAGGCGGGTTGTCAGATTCATTGGGCGAGTGAGCAGATACATCAGGTGGGTCGTCACACTGCATTTGAGGAACTGCTTGTGAATTTCTCCTTTTCATCAGCACGGTGGTTATGGCAATGAGCGTGAAGACAAATCCTGACACAAGGATCCCCGCAACGAGAAATGTTCTTTGATTAAGGATACCGCCTTGCTCATCTAGTTCGGTACTCCCTACAATGGACACGGAAATACGGTGATGACATAAGCTTTGTTTATCAACACCCTGACTAATATCATGGTTTATGAGCTTTTGAGAGAAAGAATTCGAGGGTCGGTCTGGTGATGAAAACCCAAGTTAAGCGGATCCTTACACTTCGAAAAAACACAACCATGCGGCAGTGGGCCACAAGGACGTCACAACTCAACGAGGAAATATTTGTAAAATGCAAGTGATAGTGATATTTCCATGAGTGGTTGCAAAACATAATCATACTTTCATTGGGGAAGTAATTGGATGAAACTGACGAATGTCTTCAGCATAACTGTTGTTGAATGAAACAATCTCTTGATGTCATCTGGTTTTTTTGCTTAAGAGTATTATGTGAACTTTATGCGCCAGGAAAGCCAGAAGCGATGCAGGTACGAGCTATTTACCACTAAGTTCAACATGTTAAAAATAAAACTATCCTTAATCATTCCTAAGTAATATTTAGAATTAAGTGAAAAGGTTAATGTTATTACTCACCCTCAGTTGCTTGACAAGGAAGAGTTTTATTGTATGTGCCACAAGTGAAGACCAAGTTGAAAGTAGTATTACTGACAGGGATTTGAACTGTTTTATTTTTCGTCTCAGTGACTGTCTCTGTGGTAACTTTAATGTCAGATCCTTCAGACACCAGCTTCATATTAACCGGTTCCGAACAGTAGTATCCGATGACATGGACAGCACGATCTCCCCCATCACAGGAAGGAGACGAATTTGTAGCACACGTGAGGAGGCATGACGGCTCTTCTGGAATGAGATATTCAAGGCATATTGAGTGAGTGAGTTTGATTTCACGCCGCTTTTAGCAATATTCCTGCAATATCACGGCGGGGGACACCAGAAATGGGCTTCTCACATTGTACCGATATCGGGAATCGAACCAGGGCCTTCAGTCTGACGAGCGAACGCTATAACCACTAGGCTACCCCACCGCCCTCAAGGCATACTTTATATATAAGCCATAACTACATAGTGTAATTGAATGTGACATAAAAACAAGTGACACTCGATCCATGGCCATTATGTTTCGTGTGATGTATCATGTTACTGACAGCGATCAGGTTACAGGATGGTGTGCAACATTTCAACTTTCCGGCCTGTGCTTGTGGTACTCCTGGAATTGTAAAGCTACTGTGATAGAATAATACTGAGTGAGTGAGTGAGTTGGGTTTAACGCCGCTATTAACATTATTCCAGTTATATCACGGCGTGTCAGCTTAATGTAATGTGGGAGGAAAGCCCGAAGTGATGCAGGTCTCAGACGTTTACCACTTCGGTGAAACCCACGAGCAGGCGTATGGTGCTGGCAAACCTAGAAACATAATCGGGGCGAACCGGGATTCGAACCCACAATCATAAGTTTCTGGCGTGCCCAAGGGACGCAACTCTACGCAGCAAATCGCGGTGCCTTAGACGACTGGGCCCCCCGTGCCCCCCGATAGAATAATACAATAATACGTCTTGATTGTCCGTTGCAATATGATCCGGTGAATATCATTACCCTTGATATTTCAACACTCACCAGCAACAAGTTAGGGGATGAAGTTCCCCATGGTTGAATAGGGCACAAGCAGCTTGAGTGATGATATATGATGGTTTGTTACGGGTGTTGACTTTACTTCATGTATCCTATCTTGGGGTACTTACTCACAACAGTGATCTTGCAGGATAGTGGAGACCAAGGATGGGTAGTACACTTCCATTGCCCAGCATGTGTTTGTTGTACTGCAGGTATGGTGAGGATACTGTGTGTCTGGTTGATGGTAGACGCCATGTAGTTGTCCATTGGTGTACATGATGAACTTGATAAACTGCAGATGGCGGCAACTTCACCTTGCGGTGTTGTATAGCCACGTGAAGTTGTATTACTTGGTGAGATGCACGTCAGATTAGCAGGAGAACCAAGATATCCGACATCTGGACAGACGAGTTCCGACATACCTTTATGAATATATAGTTAATGTATATACCCCTAAGTTTACATATCTGTATTTAATCTACCTTCAGTTGTTGGTCATCTAAAGCCTATTTTTAATACTGTGTTATTGACTAATGTATTTTTTCTTTTACATGTTCTCAACTAGTTTTAAATTGAATCTGTGATAATCTAGTTATAGTACTGTTCATCGTACAGGTTTTAATTCAGTCTTCTCGTCATGAAATGTCACCGATGTGACGTTACAATTTAACTCTGACGTATAAATCAGTTTATGGATGCATTGAACTGATTTGTATGTGTCATATAATGAATGCACAATGCCATTTAGAAAGTGTCAAAATGTAACAAATGTTATATTTGGGATCACACTTTCTTAGTAAAGTCCAGATTCTCGTACTTTTGGGGGGTTGAGTCCAGTCTAGGATTCGAATCCACATTTGACAGAGTGTGGAACCTAATCGCCAGCACACAAAGTTAGCGATCTAACCCACTCAGCCACCGATGCTTTCACGAAAATTAAAGTCCGACAACTGGTAGTCTAGATCAACGTAGATCATTTTTGTGGAGGCCTCGGAGGCTGACTCAACCCAAAAGGGGCCGCCTCCGTGGTCTAGTGGTAGAGCGTCCGCCCGGAGAGCGGAAGGTCCGGGGTTCGATCCCCAACCGCGTCATACCAAAAGACGTTAAAAGATGGTACTTGTTGTTACCCTGTCTGGCGCTCGGCATTAAGGGGCTAAAACAAGGACTGGTCGGCTCGGAGTCAGTATACTGTGTCTGAGTGGGGTATTCATGTTAAACTGCGGCATGGTATCTCAGTGAGCTAGCACTATAAATCGGCATCAGTCCGGACTAGTACAAGCAGCCACACAAACACACACACGTACATGCACGTCGCTATAGAAGTGCAATGGTCTTGGACGCGACGTTAAACACAATTTCACCTCACCAACCCCAAAGGAGTACGAGAATCTGTACCTTACTAAGAAAGTGTTATCCCAAATATAACATTTGTTACTTGTCATATAATAAGAAACAATTTATATCCGTTGTAGGTGATACATACGCAACTGAAGTATTTTCAATTTGTGGAAACATACCGTGTGACTCTGGTATTAGAAGCATCAGCACCAGCACGCACACAGCACACAAGGGGGCTGAGTCCATTGTCTGGCACATATGAATGAATGTGTACAGCGCCATGGATGTCATGGATGTTCCTTGAGCAATCCGTAGCTGACGCAGTTCCTTTGCTGTGGATTTGAAAGCTGAAAAATAGTGTTTTCACTCAGCGATAATAGTCCTTAAAGGATATAACACATGCTTGTTGTAGAAGCGACTAACGGATCGGATGGTCACTTTCGCTGCCTTGGTTATTGCATGTCCTTATAACCCAATTTCGAAGAGTGAGTGAGTGAGTTGGATTTAACGCCGCTTTTAACATTATTCCAGTTATAGCACGGCGTGTCAGCTTAATGTGGGAGGAAAGCCCGAGGTCTCAGACGTTTTCCACTTCGGAGAAACCCACGAACGGGATTCGAACCCACAATCACAGGTTTCTGGCTTGCCCAAGGGACGCAACTCTGTGCACAGCGAATCGCGGCGCCTTAGAGGACTGGGCCACCCGTGCCCCCAGGTGAGACAATAAGGATAGTGTGTGTTCTCTGATGGTTAAACAACTGAATTCATTATTTGTTGTACTGGTCGAATATTGAAAACAGCGATGTGAAACCAAACTCACTCACTCGCCTACTTCCTTACTTATTCATGGGCAGAGTTAAGCACAATTTAACGTCTCAATTGCCGGAACGCATTCTTTGAACACGAATACACTTCGACATGATATAAATCGTGGCTACCCACGAAGATCCATGCTCATGGCGTCAGTCAGTGAATAGGCTTGACAAGACTCGATGAATTACAGACCGCCGCCATATCGCTAACACACTGATAAGTCGGTACATACAGATGTAAATTGTGCGATCGGATATGAATCAAGAATATCTCTCAAACTGATACAGTCATTGTCTTATCTGAAACACAGCATTGCTCGAACCAAAGTATTGATCCATGTGACACACATATGTCGAATGTACAATTGATCAGTGTTCAGGGATTACTTTATACAAGTAAGGCAGCGTGTTACATACCTGTCTCACGTGTCTAGTCACCCATCACATTATAGTGATTTGAAATGAAACAGAAAGTTAAATCTGAGGTCAGTTATGAGAAGGATGAATATATTTTACAGTCATTTCTTTTTCCTCGTTACAAATATCTGAATATACAACTAAGGAAACAAAAATGATTTCAGAGTCAACGTTGATGATATGTTTGTAGAATACTTTCAATTACTTGTTAAGTAACATATAAACACCACGCTATTTAACACTGACCATCCTCTTTCTGTTTCTCCAATCAACTTGCGGGGGCACGGGTGGCCCAGTCGTCTTGGGCGCCGCTATTCGCTGTGCAGAGTTGCGTGCCTCGGGCACGCCAGAAACCTATGATTGTGGGTTCGAATCCCGGTTCGCCCCGATTATGTTTCTAGGTTTGTCAGCACCATACGCGTGCCTGTGGGTTTCACCGAAGTGGTAAACGTCTAAGACCTGCATCACTTCGGGCTTTCCTCCCACATTAAGCTGACACGCCGTGATATAACTGGAATACTGTTAAAGGCGGCATTATATCCAACTCACTCACTATTAGTCTATCACAGTAGCATCACCATTCCGGCAGCACCACAAGTAAAGGCCGGAGAGTTGAAATGTTGCACATCATCCAGTAACCTGATCGCTGTCAGTGGTCCTATTCACAACGCACAGGTCACAAATCAGGGGAAGATGAACAACGTCGGTCCCAGAGATTCCTCAGATGGGTGACCGCGTTTCGGCAGTTTGGCTCCTGAGAGTTCCTGGCGCTTTGGTCTTACCCCGCACTGAAGACCATGTAACACGTGTAGTGTTTCCTTGTGCGAAATGTGACTCTGCTCACCCAGCAGTGAATGGGTACCCGGTAGAATGAGATGTCAAAATGGTTGTTAACCTTCAAGCGCCTAACGGGCAACTTGTGTGTATACTCCCCATGGAGCTGGGAATGATTGTTCAGTGCACAATGATCCAGTTACCTGGAGTAATAATAGTGTCTTGAGCTTGTGGAAATATGCGCACTATATAAATGGGTAGTTTGTTGTTTAACGCCGCACTCAGCAATATTCCAGCTATATGACGGCGGTCTGTAAATAATCGAGTCTGGACAAGACAATCCAGTGATTCATATCATGAGCATCGATCCACGCAATTGGAACACGATGACATGCATCAACCAAGTCAGCGGGCCTAACCACCTCATCCCGTTAGTCGCCTCTTACGACAAGCATAGTCGCCTTTTACGGCAAGCATGAGTTGCTAGAGACCTATTCTACCACCCCCCCCCCCCCCCCCCCACACACACACACACACACCCCACACCCACCCACCCCCCACCCCCGATCTTCACGGGTTTCTAGTAGTAGTAGTAGTAGTAGTAGTAGTAGTAGTAGTAGTAGTAGCTGCACAAAACTACAGCCTTCTGCATTACCCAGATTGTCAGAAGGGCTGTATTCCTGGAAGCAAACCCGGGTACTCTCCCAATGTCAGGATCAAATTGGGAGGTACCAAACCTAAGGCACCGAGAACGATGGGGGGTCGGCAACTTATTCTTGGGATGCAAGCGTGACATTTCGAAAGCAAGGTCCGCATGTTTGCCATGTTTTTTCTTAATCTGGGCCGATTTGATATAGCACTTTGCTTGGTTGACACTCATTTCTGCACCGTGCTGCAGCAGTAGTAGTAGTAGTGGTGGTGGTAGTAGTAGTAGTAGTAGTAGTAGTAGTAGTGGTAGTAGTAGTAGTAATAGTAGTAGTAGTAGTAGTAGTAGTAGTAGTAGTAGTAGTAGTAGTAGTAGTAGTAGTAGTAGTAGTAATAGTAGTAGTAGTAGTGGTAGTGGTAGTAGTAGTAGTAATAGTAGTAGTAGTAGTAGTAGTAAGGTGTTGTGTTGGTCAAGTCTAACATATATCGACCAATGTACAGAGCTAGCTAGAGAGTATTACATTACTGTGTGCGTCATACTGATGAATGTCGAATTTGTGTATCAGTAGGATATACATATGTCTTGTTATTGTGCCTCAAAGTGAGAATGACCAATCAGAGAGCAGAACTACTGACCCCACATGAGCCCGTATACCGTCAGTAAAAATCCAAGATGGCCGTTACTGACCTAATATGAGACCGTATACGGTCAGTAACAGCCATCTTGGATTTTTCACCCACCTCACAAATTCTGGTACAGAAATATGTTATTCAACACTGTTTTGTATTTTAATATCATTAATTGTGATGAGCAAAGACATTATTTATTAAAGAAACCACGTTCGTGACTTGGTTTATAAAAAAAGCTTACAACAGAGATCACTTAGTTACAAATAGCAACGTCATAAAACATACTATAGGATGACGTCACAAACAAGAAACGTGACGCCAATGACGTCACAAAGCAACAGAATAGACAGCAGCCCGTCGTTAGGGGAGAGCGGACTGCTATCAAGTTACAGTGGCCCGCAGATTTCTGTAAACATGCGGACATTTTTATGCTAATTCTATCCATTTTAGCTATAGTACTTTAAACGTTCACATTTAGTGCATTATATATTGCATTGTTAACGTTTATGTTTACATTAAAGCGTTGTACCGGAAACATATGTACTGGTCCTGTCGGTTATACCGGTTGTAAGTGTCAAGTTTTCATTTTGACATGACATGTGCGACAAAGATACCAAATAGTGTAATATTTCCCTACTAACCTAATATGACACCGTATACGGCAACTGAAGACACCATACATGTAACTTATAGTATCATACACACTTCCTCTGTAATGTACACGTGTTGGGACCTCATTTAAACAGTGGCGTCATTAATACCATGGGCAATATCGTCAGATGCCATCTCCTTAACCATTTTATCGATTTCAGAATATTGATGCTAATTAATGATAAATAATGACACATGTACCTTTTCAAAAGCGATAATTGGGCATTTTAACAAACACAGGGCACCCAGAAGATGCCATTCTCTAGTGTTGATAGTTCCTCTAGGTTTTTATATGTCATTTCACATCAGCGATACTGCGATACCTCATGTTGAATTTCAAGCTGGTTTCACAGTAATTAATTTGACATTGTATAAAGGTAATCTTGCATTTGCATGACGGTGTTGCGTGAGACAAAATAATCAGATGTTCAGTCATGGAGTTGATGTAATGGCATAACGTTCTTTTTTTAGTCTACACAGTCCCCCATACTCTACTTTGCCGGGCATCTGCATCAAAACACAGCCTTGATTAGTTTCACAAAAACGCATGTTTGAACAATTGCAATAATGACTTATTTTTTTGTCACGCCAGCGCATCCCGTCAAGTTGAAAAGGCTGCGACTCAGATATTCCATGCTGAAGATAGCGTTGATCATTGTCTCAGGACACATGATAATTTCGATACACAGGTAAGTGTCGCTGTGCTACTTTCTACCTTCTTTGATATAAAGTAGACACAATGTATGGATAACATCTTCTTTAATACTGTAAAGGCGACGTTCGGTATAGATCCTTATACCGTTGTCAGGGGGCACGGGTGGCCCAGTCGTCTTAGGCGCCGCGATTCGCTGTGCAGAGTTGCGTCCTTTGGGCACGCCAGAAACCTATGATTGTGGGTTCGAATCCCGGTTCGCCCCGATTATGTTTCTAGGTTTGTCAGCACCATACCCGTGCTCGTGGGTTTCACCGAAGTGGTAAACGTCTGAGACCTGCATCACTTCGAGCTTTCCTCCCACATTAAGCTGACACGCCGTGATATAACTGGAATACTGTTAAAGGCGGCGTTAAACCCAACTCACTCACTCACTATACCGTTGTGAAGCAAGACTGACTGAGGAACATTCTACAGAATATTTCTAGTAGGTAGAGGATTAACAGTAGAGGAGTATCCTTCTGTTGTCATTCCTTACTCATGTTATCCCACTCATGTCTGTAATTGTCCTCTACTGTTAATCCTCCACCTACTATATATATTCTGTACTATGTCCCTCATTCAGTCTTGCTTGACAACGGTAAAAGGGCTTATACCGAAACGTCGCCTTTACAGTATCAAAGAAGTTGTTATCCATAAATTGTGTCTTCTTTGTCATCCGTCAACTTCTAAGCAATGCCTATCAAACCATTCATTTATATACAAGTATTGTTTATGACAGTATAAAGAGTCTTATGTCTGGAATTAATGTCTTGAAGTAATAATGAAAGGGAGTATTAACAGACTGACATGTACACATAGCTGCAAGCAGCAACGTCGGTCTCCCTGTGGTACTGAGACGCGTCCAGTTTGACATGCATGTCAGTCGTACGTGACAACGGTATAAGGATCTATACCGAAACGTCGTCTTAACAGTAATTAAAGAAGTTGTTATCCATAAATTGTGTTTACTTTGTCAATTTGGGTAGTCTATCATTTGCCGATACAGTCAACAAAAGCACAGAACTGATTTTTGAAGGAATTTAGTTTACTTGTCGTTAGGACATTTAGCCTTAATAAACAGCTTCCAGTTTTGGAAAACAAACTCTTATTTCTAAGGTGGAACCGGAAACTCTAATGGTTCAAGCACTAAATACAAGTGATTTGTACTTTTAGTTGTGATTATGTCACTGCAAGTGTGGGTAAACACATTCTTACTGCATACGAACTAAATCATATAAACTCCCCTGTATCTTAACTTATCACAGAGTTGCCAAAATGCTTAAATAACACCCCAAAAATAAACATTTCAAATAGTCTTCAATACCAAACGGCATCAGTTCATGAGGAGACTGATATCTGAGTAGAACGATTGGTTAATTATCTTATGGCGAAGTGAGGGTCGAGGTGGTGAAGGGAGGGTCCAGGTGGTGCAGGGAGGGTCCAGGTGGTGGAGGGAGGGTCCAGGTGGTGGAGGGAGGGTCCAGGTGGCGAAGGGAGGGTCCAGGTGGTGGAGGGAGGGTCCAGGTGGTGCAGGGAGGGTCCAGGTGGTGCAGGGAGGGTCCAGGTGGTGGAGGGAGGGTCCAGGTGGTGGTGGCAGGGTCCAGGTGGCGAAGGGAGGGTCCAGGTGGTGGAGGGAGGGTCCAGGTGGTGCAGGGAGGGTCCAGGTGGTGGAGGGAGGGTCCAGGTGGCGAAGGGAGGGTCCAGGTGGTGGAGGGAGGGTCCAGGTGGCGAAGGGAGGGTCCAGGTTGTGAAGGGAGGGTTCAGGTGGTGGAGGGAGGGTCCAGGTGGTGAAGGGAGGATCGAGGTGGGGAAGTTAGGGTCGAGGTGGTGAAGGGAAGGTCGAGGTGGTGAAGCGAGGGTCGAGGTGGTGAAGCGAGGGTCGAGTTGGTGAAGTGAGGGTCTATGTGGTGAAGTGAGGTTCTCTTGGGTGAAGTTAGGGTCTATGTTGTGAAGTGATTGTCTATGTTGTTTAGTGACGGTCAATGTGGTGACGTGAGGGTCTATGTGGTGAAGTGAGGGTCTATATGGTGAAGTGAGGGTCTCTGTGGTGAAGTGAGGGTCTCTGTGGTGAAGTGAGGGTCTCTGTGGTGAAGTGAGTGTCTGTGTGGTAAAGCGAGGTTTGAGGTGGTGAAGCGAGGGTCAATGTGGTGAAATGATTGTTTATGTGTTGAAGTGATGGTCTATGTGGTGAAGTGAGGGTCTATTTTGTGAAGCGAGGATCGCGGTGGTGAAGTGACGGTCGAGATGGTGAAGTAAGGGTCTATGTGGTGAAGCGAGGTTCTATGTTGTGAAGCGAGGGTCTAAGTGGTGAAGTGAGGGTCTATGTGGTGAAGTGAGGGTCTATGTGGTGAAGTGATGGTCCATGTGGTGTAGTGAGGGTCTATGTGGTGAAGTGAGGGTCAATGTGGTGAAGCGAGGGTCTATGTGGTGAAGTGAGGGTCTATGTGGTGAAGTGAGGATTTATATTGTGAAGTGAGGGTCTATGTGGTGATGTTAGGGTCTGTGTGGTAAAGCGAGGTTTGAGATGGTGAAGTGATGGTCTATGTGGTGAAGTGATGGTCTATGTGGTGAAGTGAGGGTCTATGTGGTGAAGTGAGGGTCTATGTGGTGAAGCGAGGATCGAGGTGGTGAAGAGAGGATTGTGCTGGTGGAGTGAGGTCGTGAAGGTGAATACGGTGAATACGGTGTGAAACGTGTAGGCGAGTTGTTTGTCAGTAGGCCTCCACTAACTTTGTACATTGGTTATGACGAAATGAAGTGTGAATGGACGTAAAAATTACATAAATCTGGGCCCCAATTACTGTGTGGCCTATGTCCGTAAGTGTACACAGCTTTTTCTACAATCATGTCGAGTGTACATTAGCCGACTCCGTATCGGGAGCTTCAGCTGATATCTAGTCAAGGGGAGCTAACTCCTCACCACATCTATACATTAAACAACACAGAATCGGATAATGTTTTGAATATGTTAGGAGGAATAATCCAACTGACTTACTCATTGCCTGTCTCCATGGTCTAGTTGATAGAGCGTATGACCGGGGAAGACAAGCCTCCTTCATCGATACCGACATACCGAATCCTGTTGGAAGGTGGATTCGCACTCAAACAACAGCAATAGTCTGAACTGGTATTGTGAGGGACGAGGTGATGAAGAGAGAGTCAAGTTGATGAAGTGTGGGTCACGTTGGTGAAGTGAAAGTTGTGGGGATGAATGGAGGGTCGCGGTGGTGACGTGAGGGTCGAGGAAGTAAAGTGGGGGTCGATGTGATGAGTGAGTGAGCATGTGTTTACGTCGCTTTTAGCAATATTCCAGTAAGATCACGGTGAGGGACACCAGAACTGGGCTTTACACATTGTACCCATGTCGGGAATCGAACCCGGGTCTTCGCCGTGACGACCGAAAGCTTTAACCACTAGGCTACCCGACCGCCCCCTTGATGTGGTGAAGTGAGGGATGAGGTGATGAAAGGTGTCAACAGCTCTTTCTACAATCATGGCGAGTCAGTATCGGGAGCTTCAGCTGATATCTAGTCAAGGGGAGGTAACTCCTCAGCACATCTATACATTAAACAACATAGAATCGAATAATGTTTTGAATATGTTTGAAGTAATAACCCAACTGACTTACTCAAATATCCCGTCTCCATGGCCTAGTGGATAGCGATATGGCTTGGGAACACGAGGTCGGGGTTCCTTCATCGATAGCGATATACCGAATCCAGTGAGAAGGTGGATTCGCACTGAACCTATATGCGCGCACACACACACACACACACATATGCACACACACACACACACACACACACACGCGCGCACGCAGGCACACACACACAGGCACACATACATACATACACGGAGGCATACACACACACATACATACATACACAGAGGCATACACACACAGAAGCATACACACACAGACAGAGGCATACACACACAGACAGAGGCACACACACACATACATGTACATACACAGGCATACACACACAGAGGCACACACACAGACAGAGGCACACACACATACATACATACACAGAGACATACACACACAGACAGAGGCACACACACACATACATACACAGAGGCATACACACACAGAGACACACACACAGACAGAGGCACACACACATTCATACATACACAGAGGCATACACACACAGAGGCATACACACGCAGACAGAGGCACACACACATTCATACACAGAGGCATACACACACACAGGCATACACACACAGACAGAGGCACACACACACACATTCATACATACACAGAGGCATACACACACAGAGGCACACAAACACAGACAGAGACACACACACATTCATACATACACAGAGGCATACACACACAGAGACAGAGGCACACACACACACATACATACATACATACATACATACATACATACATACATACATACATACATACATACATACATACATACATACACAGAGGCATACACACACAGAGGCACACACACAGACAGAGGCACACACATACATACATACATACATACATACATACATACATACATACATACATACATACATACATACATAGAGGCATACACACACAGAAGCATACACACACACAGAGGCATACACACAAACACACACACATGCATGCACGTCACTATATAAGTGCAATAATACCGAACGTGATATCAAATCCACTTTCGCCTCACCAACCACAATCACTATAGACTATATCCTCCAGTGGTCAGAATTTGCTCGGATCGGAGGTGAGATTGTGGAGTTTCATGTCACAAAACAACATTCCATTTACAGGCTCTGTGCAGGTCCTCATACAGAGAGTGCTGTGGATAGTTTATCTTGAAGACAGATGACGGAAATCATATTACTAATTATAAGCCTATTCATTGGCATTGCTATTAAGTAAGAGACTTCTTTCTATAGGCATTAAAACCTATTGTGGGGTTTTACTTTCCAGTCGGGTTAAATCTCATAAACATGGACGTTGTAATGTCCCTGGTATTTTATATAATGTCCTGGGTATTTTATTAATATAACTTCCGTTCAGATTGTAACATGTAATGAAATGTAAAATCAAATGACAAATATTTTCTTTATATTCCCGAGGATCGAACACGCAACCTTCATATCTGTAGCCCAGTGAGTGTACCACGAAGCTACAGAGGTGTTGATAAGCCTCACTGGTTTTTAAAATGTCCTTTTCAAGATCCGTACGCCAGCAACAGATATTTTACGCGCGTTTCCTAAGGTTCATGGAAAGTATGTTCGAAACATAAAAATGTTGATAAACGTTGTTTTAAGTTTCTTTTTTCGGTTTATAAGTATGGGGGTCGGGAAAAACCGCGGGAGTTTCGCCCCCTTGGTTTTTCCCTCTCCCCAGGGCATGCTCTATCTACCAAAACATCGGGAGCGTGTTTTCTCCAATACGTAAAAACCGCTGTGTAACAACGTATACAAAAGAACAGATAAAGAACGATTATTTCAACCACAAGCAAATGTAAACTGTAAACCCCGCCACCAATAGATAAGGCTAGAAGCTTAGTACCTGTATAGCCTCTTTCCACTTTTTACATCTTTACAGATGCTACACTATACAACCATACAGAACACCGATGTGACCCTGTAAAGGTATATAACTATAACTGTCAGACTGTAACTAGTGACGGACCAATGAATACCTGATACAAAACACTGAAACAGTATATACAAAGAAAATTACTTTATGATACTTTACTTCGCTACTTGGAGGTCAGTGGTCCTTGGTACACTAGGCAAAACAATTCTTCTCGACACGGTGAGAGGTTACATGATATAGCTTGAGAAATAATCACATCATGTATGGTATTGTGTCATGGGTTGAGTCGACATAAATGTTTCAAATACCTGAAACGCGTAATGAAAATGTAGCACGTTTCTGAGCATGGTGAACATTACAATTATTGAATATCAGAGTTTATACAAGCATATTCAAATTAAGGTTGATCCTAAACATCCTTTCATCTAAGGGAGCGGTCGGGTAGTCCAGTGGTAGTCATATATTTGGAAACACAACAGAAATGCATCAATACCAACTAGGCAGTAATTACCGACTTTTCACGTCATATATCACATGTCAGAACCATAACATAAATAATGACTGCGTTTGAATTCAAATGAAAAAGAATGGTAGGGGTACTGACAACTAATGCCAATGCAACGAAATAATATAACAAGTAGATAATGGCTGTCCTTTTATATACACAATAATAGGGTCACGGGTGGACCAGTCGTATTAGGCGTCGCGATTCGCTGTGCAGAGCTACGTCCCTTGGGCACCCCAGAAACCTATGATTGTGGGTTCGAATCCTAGCTCGCCCCAATTATGTTTCTAGGTTTGTCAGCACCATACCCGTGCTCGTGGGTTTCACCGAAGTGGTAAACGTCTGAGACCTGCATCACTTCGGGCTTTCCTCCCACATTAAGCTGACACGCCGTGATATAACTGGAATACTGTTAAAAGCGGCGTTAAACCGAACTCACTCACCCACTTGTGGAAGGTTTTTAAAATGGAAACGTAAATATAAATCCTTCCTATTGCTGCATGAGATTATAGATAATCACACACTGAAAACATAATACAATGTGACTTGGTTAAGCCATCAGTTTTAGTCGTGTTTTATTACAAAGTAGAGACAATTTATTAATTAACTGTAAAAGAAAACTAACAGAAGCAGTCCACATTCGTCGCCACAAACCACCAATCAACAGAGATCAAGACTATGAACTCATTAAGCAGTAATCAGCCCAACTATGTACCCTTAATCCTGTTTAATTGGTTTCCTGTCTTTTTGGCTTCCTCGCCATGCTGTCCCTGTCCATCAGGGGGGCACGGGTGGCCCCGTCGTCTAAGGCGCCGCGATTCGCTGTGCAGAGTTGCGTCCCTCGGGCACGCCAGAAACCTATGATTGTGGGTTCGAATCCCGGTTCGCCCCGATTATGTTTCTCGTGGGTTTCACCGAAGTGGTAAACGTCTAAGACCTGCATCACTTCGGGCTTTCCTCCCACATATAACTGGAATAATGTTAAAAGCGGCGTTAAACCCAACTCACTCACTCACTCCCTGTCCATCATGTTGTTACATTATAATCCTTCGGTTGTCATTACTTAACCTACTCATGTTAATCTCTTTCTTGTATGCAATTGTTGTTACTGTTATTCCTCCACCTACTAAATATATTCTGTTCCATGTTCATTATTCAGCCTTGCTTGACAACGGTATAAGTATCTATACCGACACATCGCCTTTACAGTTATTTATACCAAAATGTTTCTACTTTGTCATTCGTCAACTTCTAAGTAATGCCTATCAAATAAGTGTTTTATTATGTTCAACACGTACTTTGTCTCTTAACGTATCGGTACAAGCAATTAAGTGGAACTATCTGTCAGTTCTCCCTGTTCGTGACCCGTGAAGATCCAGGGTAGAATAGGTCTTCAGCAACCCATGCTTGCCCTAAAAGACGACTATGCTTGTCGCAAGAGGCGACTAACGGGATCGGGTGGTCAGGCTCGCTGACTTGGTTGATGCATGTCATCGTATCCCAATTGCGTGGATCGATGCTCATGATATCCATCACTGGATTGTCTGGTCCAGCAACATTCCAGCTTCATGACGGCAGCCTGTCAATAATCGAGTTTGGAGACAATCCAGTGATTGATATTACGAGGAACGATCAATGCCGCCGGGGTACGATGACATGCTCAAAGATGCTGACAACAGGATCAATCTGGCGCCTCTTACGAACAGAATATTTCGCTGGGAACTTTCTCCATCCAGAAATCCCCACGTGAATATAAGTTGTATCTATGAAATGAAATGAAAATTCTGAAAATGATATCATAATTGTTATTTCTATTTAAGAAATAAACGGGATTCGAGCCCACAATCCTAGGTTTCTGGCGTGCCCAAGGGACGCTACTCTTCACAGCGAAACGCGGCGCCTTAGACGACTGGGCCACTCGTGCGCCCAGGTGAGACAATAAGGATAGTGTGTGTTCTCTGATGGTAAAACAACTGAATTCAGTATTTGTTGTACTGGTCGAATATTGAAAACAGCGACTTTAACCAAACTCACTCCCTCGCTTACTTACTTGGTTATTCATGGTCAGTGTTAAGTACATTTTAACATCTCAATTACCGGAACGCATTCTTGAAACACGAATACACATGGACATAAATAAATCGTGGATGATTTTTGTTAACTTATCAAACTCAACGTTGCATTATTTGCAAAACTACGAGTAGAATTTCCAAATCGAACATCTTGGAGGCGGGTGTTAAGTGGAGTCTGTTGATATGTGGCTTCGAACGTATCAATTTAAGGTCACATTGGCAATATTTCATTCATATCGTGCAGACGCGCATTGTGTTGTACATAATATCATAAATATAATGTTGTGTATTGATCACACGTCGCTGTGACATATTTGACGTGGCACGGCATCTTGCAGGTGAGTTATTAGTCTGGGTTAGGGTTAGGCTTTACGTTGTGACAAAATGACGCATTATTGGACGTATTAATTATATAAATATTGAATGAATGAATGTATATTCTATGCCAATAGCTAGCTGACCCTGACCCTGACCTGACCACTAACGGGATCGGGTGGTCAGGCTCGCTGACCTGGTTGATGCATGTCATCGATCCCAATTGCGTGTATTGATGCGCATGAAATTAATCACTGGATTGTCTGATCCAGACTTGATTATTTCCAGACCGCCGTCATATCGCTGGAATGTTGCTGAGTGCGGCCTTAAACAACCAACCAACCAAATCATCACTATTGCCTTTTATTCTCTGTCGCAGTCGTTTTCAATTTATCTCTTTGTTCTGTAAATGCGATGTATAATGAAACTTAGTTTTGTTTGTTTTCCAGTATGAAAATGCCCGACCATGCATCTGAAGGTGATTATCCTCGTCCTATATCTGTGGGCAAACTCAGAACTTGGTACGTAATGTTCTTCTGGAAAAGCGATTGTTGCAAACGTTACCCTAAATATTGCTACAATGTCTTGTTATGTTCTGTAACTTGGACGTAACAGCATGTAGATACCTATTCAGATAAATAGACATGATATGATGGGAGTATGTGTAATGAAAATGTGCATAAAAATACAAGAAATAAGTTTGATGGCTGTCAGCTTCTATTTAGGTTATACATGTCGTGTTATCTGTAAGAAGGAACACCCCAGTGACTCCCGTGAAGACCTGTGTTAGAATTGGTGTTAAGCAACCAATGCCTGTCACAAAAGACAGCTACAGAGATCGTGCGGCCAGGCTCGCTAATTTGGATAAAGTGAGTTAGTGAGTTACTGTGGTTTTACACCGCTTTTAGCAATATTCCAGCAATATCACGGCGGGGGACACCAGAAATGGGCTTCACACATTGTACCCATCTCGGGAATTGAACCCGGGTCATCGGCGTGACAAGCGAACGCTTTAACCACTAGGCTACCCGACCGCCCCTATTTGGATAAAGGATGCCATCGTATATCAGTTATGTAGATCCATGCTCATGATGTCAATTACTGAAGTGCCTGGTCGAGTATTTGCAGAACTTCATCATATAACTGAAATGTGACGTCAAACAGCCAGTAAACACACAAACATCATGGGATTTGCAATGCCAGCATATCAAAGCTGTATCGCTTATTTATGTCAATTCAAATTGTACAAATAATGTTATCTTGCTATAATCTCTACAGGTACTTCTGAACTGACCTGCCCAAGTCAGAGTGAAGTAGGTTCTACAGCAGACATCACGTGTATTGCACCTAACACTACAGATAAGCATGGTTACTCTACACCAAATAAGGAAGTTGCTGCTATCTGCCAAACAAACCGCTCATCATGTCAAACCCTCGGCGACTACTCAGCGGCTGTTATCAATGACACCTGCAGCGTTCTGACCATTCCTAGTGTGAAACTGTCTGACGCTGGAGACTGGCGATGTACTGTTTCACCTTCACCTATGTTGACTTGTCACATGGTCGTCTACAGTAAGTACTCAAAAATAACGCACTGCCAGCTATACAAGTAAGATACACAATCCAATCTGCCGTTTGTTTTACCTTTTCGCGAACACCTGGTATCATCACTTATTGGAAGCGATTCATAAACACATGGTATTCCGGGGACTGGTATTCTTTAGAAATAATCAGTTAACACGTCCAATTTTTATTTTGGAAACCCAATCGTCCTGATACTCTACGGCCTTTGCCCAGTCTCGGTCCAAGGTATTTACAAAATTAAACATGCTGTTTTTTTGGGAACACGCTAAGGAGGGAACAATTAATTTTTTTTTTTTAAATTCAATATTTACACTATGTCGCCCATGGGCAGGCCAACGGGCGAAGAGTGGCCTATGGGCAGGCCCATGGGCGAGAATATTTTCCTTTACTCAAAACTCATGTTTTTGTTTCGCAAATACATAAATGTATTTCTTTCAAGCATCATGACACAAAATTTAACTCATTTTAACTTCATTCAACGATTTTATTGCAATATTGAAATATTTCGCCCATGGGCGAGAAAAGGTTTGGCCCATGGGCGAGAATATTTTCCTTTGCTCAAAACTCGTGTTTTAGTGTCGCAAATACATGAAGGTGTTCTTACAAGTTTCATGTCACATAATTTAACTAATTTTAATTTAATTTAACTATTTTATAGCCATATTACAATATTTCGCCCATGGGCGAGAATATTTTTCTTTGCTCACAACTCGTGTTTTAGTGTCGCAAATACATAAAGGTGTTCTTACAAGTTTCATGACATATATTTAAAATTAATTTAACGGTTTTATGGCGTTTACCTCATGTTGAATTTCAAGCTGGTTTCACATTAATTAATTTGACATTGTATAAAGGTAATCTTGCATTTGCATGACGGTGTTGCGTGAGACAAAATAATCAGATGTTCAGTCATGGAGTTGATGTAATGGCATTACGTTCTGTTTTTAGTCTACACAATCCCCCATACTCTACTTTGCCGGGCATCTGCATCAAAACACAGCAATGATTAGTTTCACAAAAACACATGTTGGAACAATTACAATAATGACTTATTTTTTTGTCACGCCAGCGCATCCCGTCAAGTTGAAAAGGCTGCGACTCAGATATTCCATGCTGAAGATAGCGTTGATCATTATCTCAGGACACATGCTAATTTTGATACACAGGTAAGTGTCGCTGTGCTACTTTCTACCTTCTTTGATATAAAGTAGACACAATGTATGGATAACATCTTCTTTAATACTGTAAAGGCGACGTTCGGTATAGAATTATACCGTTGTCAAGCAAGAGTGACTGAGGAACATTGAACAGAATATTTCTAGTAGGTAGAGGATTAACAGTAGAGGAGTATCCTTCTGTTGTCATTACTTACTCATGTTATCCCACTCATGTCTGTAATTGTCCTCTACTGTTAATCCTCCACCTACTGTATATATTCTGTACTATGCCCCTCATTCAGTCTTGCTTGACAACGGTAAAAGGATCTATACCGAAAAGTCGCCTTTACAGTATTAAAGAAGTTGTTATCAATAAATTGTGTCCACTTTGTCATCCGTCAACTTCTAAGTAATGCCTATCAAACCATTCATTTATATACAAGTATTGTTTATGACAGTATAAAGAGTCTAATGTCTGGAATTAATGTCTTGAATTAATGTCTTGAAGAAATAATGAAAGGGAGTATTAACAGAATGACATGTACAAATAGATGCAAACAGCAATGTCAGTCTCCCTGTGGTACTGAGACGCGTCCAGTTTGACATGCATGTCAGCCTTACGTGACAACGGTATAAGGATCATACCGAAACGTCGTCTTAACAGTAATTAAAGACCTTGCTTTCGAAATGTCACGCTTGCATCCCAAGTACTAAGTTGCCGACCCCCCATCGTTCTCGGTGCCTTAGGTTTGGTACCTCCCAAATTGTGTTTCCTTTGTCAATTTGGGTAGTCTATCATTAGCCGATACAGTCAACAAAAGCACAGAACTGATTTTTGAAGGAATTTAGTTTACTTATCGTTAGGACATTTAGCCTTAATAAACAGCTTCCAGTTTTGGAAAACAAACTCTTATTTCTTAGGTGGAACCGGAAACTCTTATGGTTCAAATACTTAATACAAGTGATTTGTACTTTTAGTTGTGATTATGTCACTGCAAGTGTGGGTAAACACATTCTTACTGCATACGAACTAAATCATATAAACTCCCCTGTATCTTAACTTATCACAGAGTTGCTAAAATGCTTAAATAACACCCCAAAAATAAACATTTCAAATAGTCTTCAATACCAAACGGCATCAGTTCATGAGGAGACTGATATCTGAGTAAAACGATTGGTTAATTATCTTATGGCGAAGAGAGGGTCGAGGTGGTGAAGGGAGGGTCGAGGTGGTGGAGGGAGGGTCCAGGTGGCGAAGGGAGGGTCTAGATGGTGAAGTAAGGGTCTACGTGGTGAAGTGAGGGTCTATGTTGTGAAGTGAGGGTCGAGGTGGCGAAGGGAGGGTCGAGGTGGTGGAGGGAGGGTCCAGGTGGCGAAGGGAGGGTCGAGGTGGTGAAGGGAGGGTTCAGGTGGAGAAGGGAGGGTCGAGGTTGTGAAGGGAGGGTCGAGGTGGTGAAGGGAGGGTCGAGGTGGTGAAGTGAGGGTCGAGGTGGCGAAGGGAGGGTCTAGATGGTGAAGTAGGGGTCTACGTGGTGAAGTTAGGGTCTATGTTGTGAAGTGAGGGTCTATGTGGTGAAGTGAGGGTCTACGTGGTGAAGTGAGGGTCTATATGGTGAAGTGATGGTCTCTGTTGTGAAGTGAGGGTCTATGTGGTGAAGCTAGGGTCTAGGTGGTGAAGTAAGGGTCTTTCTGGTGAAGTGAGGGTCGAGGTGGTGAAGTGAGGGTCTATGTGGTGAATAGAGGGTCTATGTGGTGAAGTGAGGGTCTATGTCGTGAAGCGAGGGTCTATGTGGTGAAGTGAGGGTCTATGTGGTGAAGTGATTGTCCATGTGGTGAAGTGAGGGTCTATATGGTGAAGTGAGGGTCTCTGTGGTGAAGTGAGGGTCTATGTGGTGAAGTGAGGGTCTCTGGGGTGAAGTGAGGGTCTATGTGGTGAAGTAAGGGTCTTTCTGGTGAAGTGAGGGTCTATGTCGTGAAGCGAGGGTCTATGTGGTGAAGTGATGGTCTACGTGGTGAAGTGAGGGTCTAGATGATGAAGTAAGGGTCTACGTGGTGAAGTGAGGGTCTATGTTGTGAAGTGAGGGTCTATGTGGTGAAGTGAGGGTCTACGTGGTAAAGTGAGGGTCTATATGGTGAAGTGATGGTCTCTGTGGTGAAGTAAGGGTCTATGTGGTGAAGCGAGGGTCTATGTGGTAAAAGTGAGGGTCTATGTGGTGAAGCGAGGATCGAGGTGGTGAAGTGAGGGTCTATGTGGTGAAGTGATGGTCTTTGTGGTGAAGTGAGGGTCTGTGTGGTAAAGCGAGGTTTGAGGTGGTGAAGTGATGGTCTATGTGGTGAAGTGATGGTCTATGCGGTGATTTAGGGTCTATGTTGTGAAGCGAGGATCGTGGTGGTGAAGGGAAGGTCGAGGTGGTGAAGTGAGGGTCGAGGTGGTGAAGTGATTGTCTATGTGGTGAAGTGATGGTCTATGTGATGAAGTGAGGGTCTATGTTGTGAAGCTAGGATCGAGGTGGTGAAGGGAATGTCGAGCTGGTGAAGTTAGGGTAAAATTGGTAAAGGGAGGGTCGAGGTGTGAATAGAAGATGAGATGGTGAAGGATTGTCGTGTTGATGAAGTGAGGGACGAGATGATGAAAGGAGAGTCGAGGTGATGAATTGAGGGTCAAGATGGCGAAGGTTAGGGTCGAGGTGTTGAAGGGAGAGTTGTGCTGGTATTGTGAGGGACGAGTTGTTGAAGAGAGGGTCGAGGTGATGAAGTGAGGATTGTTCTGGTGAAGAGAGGATTGTGCTGGTGAAGTGAGGATTGTGCTGGTGAAGTGAGGATTGTGCTGATGAAGAGAGGATTTTGCTGGTGAAGTGAGGATTGTGCAGGTGAAGTGAGGATTGTGCTGGTGAAGTGAGGATTGTGCTGGTGAAGAGAGGATTGTGCTGGTGAAGTGAGGATTGTGCAGGTGAAGTGAGGATTGTGCTGGTGAAGTGAGGATTGAGCAGGTCGTGATGGTGAATAAGGGGTGAAACGTGTACAGACACCTTGGAGGCGAGTGGTTTGTCAGTAGGCCTCTACTAACGTTGTACATTGGTACTGACGAAATGAAGTGTGAATGGACGTAAAAATTACATAAATCTGGGCCCTTATTACTGCAATTGATAAAGCGAATTATGTGTGGTCTATGTCCGTAAGGGTACACAACTCGTTCTACAATCATATTGAGTGTACACCAGCCGAGTCCGTATCGGGAGCTTCAGCTGATATCTAGTCAAGGGGAGCTAACTCCTCACCACATCTATACATAAAACAACACAGAATCCGATAATGTTTTTAATATGTTAGAAACAATAATCCAACTGGCTTACTCATTGCCTGTCTCCATGGTCTAGTGGATAGAGCGTATGACCGGGGAAGACAAGCCTCCTTCATCGATACCGACATACCGAATCCTGTTGGAAGGTGGATTCGCACTGAAACAACAGCAATAGTCTGAACTAGTATTGTGAGGGACGAGGTGATGAAAAGAGAGTCAAGTTGATGAAGTGTGGGTCATGTTGGTGAAGTGAAAGTTGTGGGGATGAATGGAGGGTCGCGATGGTGACGTGAGGGTCGAGGAAGTAAAGTGGGGGTCGAAGTGATGAGTGAGTGAGCATGTTTTTACGTCGCTTTTAGCAATATTCCAGTAATATCACGATGAGGGACACCAGAACTGGGCTTTACACATTGTACCCATGTCGGGAATAGAACCCGGGTCTTCGGTGTGACGACCGAACGCTTTAACCACTATGCTACCCGACCGCCCCCTTGATGTGGTGAAGTGAGGGATGAGGTGATGAAGGGTGTACACAGCTCTTTCTACAATCATGGCGAGTCAGTATCGGGAGCTTCAGCTGATATCTAGTCAAGGGGAGGTAACTCCTCAGCACATCTATACATCAAACAACATAGAATCGGATAATGTTTTGAATATGTTTGAAGTAAAAACCCAACTGACTTACTCAAATTGCCTGTCTCCATGGTCTAGTGGATAGCGATATGGCTTGGGAACACAAGGTCGGGGTTCCTTCATCGATAGCGATATACCGAATCCAGTGAGAAGATCGATTCGCACTTAACCTATATGCAGACACACACACACACACACACACACACACACACACACACACACATACATATTCATACATACACACATACATACACACACAGGCATACACACACACAGACAGAGGCACACACACACATACACACATACATACATATACATACACAGAGGCATACACACATACATACATACATACATACATACATACATAGTTATACACATTCACACACAGGCATACACACACACACACACACACACACACACACACACACACACACACACACACACACACACACACACATATATATAAGTGCAATAATACCAAACGTGATATCGCCTCACCAACCACAATCACTATAGACTATATCCTCCAGTGGTCAGAATGTGCTCGGATCGGAGCAGAGATTGTGGAGTTTCATGTTACAAAACAACATTCCATTTACAGGCTCTGTGCGGGTCCTCATACAGAGAGTGCTGTGGATAGTTTATCTTGAAGACAGATGACGGAAATTGAAATACTAATTATAAACCTATTCATTTGGGATCGCTATTAAGTAAGAGACTTCTTTCTATGGGCATTAAAACCTATTGTGAGGTTTTACTTTCCAGTCGGGTTAAATCTCATAAACATGGACGTTGTCATGTCCCTGGGATTTTATATAATGTCCTGGGTATTTTATTAATATAACTTCCGTTCAGATTGTAACATGTAATGAAATGTAAAATCAAATGACAAATGTTTTCTTTATATTCCCGAGGATCAAACTCGCAACCTTCTTATCTGTAGCCCAGTGAGTGTACCACGAAGCTACAGAGGTGTTCATAAGCCGCACTGGTTTTTAGAATGTCCTTTTAAAGATCCGTACGCCAGCAACAGATATTTTACGCGCGTTTCCTAAGGTTCATGGAAAGTATGTTCGAAACATAAAAATGTTGATAAACGTTGTTTTTAGTTTCTTTTTTCGGTTTATAAGTATGGAAAAACACTTTCCCTCGGTTTTGGTAGACAGAGCATGCCCTGGGGGGTCGGGAAAAACCGCGGGGGTTTCGCCCCCTTGGTTTTTCACTCTCCCCAGGGCATGCTCTGTCTACCAAAACCTCGGGAGCGTGTTTTCTCCAATACGTAAAAACCGCTGTGTAACAAAGTATACAAAAGAACAGATAAAGAACGATTATTTCAACCACAAGCAAACGTAAACTGTAAACCCCGCCACCAATAGATAAGGCTAGAAGTTTAGTGCCTGTATAGCCTCTTTCCACTTTTTACATCTTTACAGATGCTACACTATAAAACCATACAGAACACCGATGTGACCCTGTAAAGGTATATAGCTATAACTGTCAGACTGTAACAAATGACGGACCAATGAATACCTGATACAAAACACTGAAACAGTATATACAAAGAAAATTACTTTATGAGACTTTATTTCGCTACTTGGAGGTCAGTGGCCCATGGTACACTAGGCAAAACAATTCTTCTCGACACGGTGAGAGGTTACATGATATAGCTTGAGAATTAATCACATCATGTATGGTATTGTGTCATGGGTTGAGTCGACATAAATGTTTCAAATACCTGAAACGCGTAATGAACATGTAGCACGTTTCTGAGCATGGTGAACATTACAATTATTTAATATCAGAGTTAATACAAGCATATTCAAATTATGGTTGATCCTAAACATCCTTTCATCTAAGGGAGCGGTCGGGTAGTCCAGTGGTTGAAGCGTTCGCTCGATCGTCAGATCGCAGTCATATATTTGGAAACACAACAGAAATGCATCAATACCCACTAGGCAGTAATTACCGAATTTTCACGTCATATATCACATGTCAGAACCATAACATAAATAATGACTGCGTTTGAATTCAAATGAAAAAGAATGGTAGGGGTACTGACAACTAATGCCAATGCAATGAAATAATATAACAAGTAGATAATGGCTGTCTGTATGTCCTTTCATATACACAATAATGGGGTCACGGGTGGACCAGTCGTATTAGGCGTCGCGATTCGCTGTGCAGAGTTACGTCCCTTGGGCACGCCAGAAACCTATGATTGCGGGTTCGAATCCCAGCTCGCCCCAATTATGTTTCTAGGTTTGTCAGCACCATACCCGTGCTCGTGGGTTTCACCGAAGTGGTAAACGTCTGAGACCTGCATCACTTCGGGCTTTCCTCCCACATTAAGCTGGCACGCCGTGATATAACTGGAATACTGTTAAAAGCGGCGTTAAACCGAACTCACTCACCCACTTGTGGAAGGTTTTTAAAATGGAAACGTAAATATAAATCCTTCCTATTGCTGCATGAGATTATAGATAATCACACACTGAAAACATAATACAATGTGACTTGGTTAAGCCATCAGTTTTAGTCGTGTTTTATTACAAAGTAGAGACAATTTATTAATTAACTGTAAAAGAAAACTAACAGAAGCAGTCCACATTCGTCGCCACAAACCACCACTCAACAGAGATCAAAACTATGAACTCATTAAGCAGTAATCAGCCCAACTATGTACACTTAATCCTGTTCAATTGGTTTCCTACTTCCTCGTCATGCGGTCCCTGTCCATCATGTTGTTACATTATAATCCTTCGGTTGTCATTACTTAACCTACTCATGTTAATCTCTTTCTTGTATGCAATTGTCCTTACTGTTATTCCTCCACCTACTATATATATTCTGTTCCATGTTCATTATTAAGCCTTGCTTGACAACGGTATAAGTATCTATACCGACACATCGCCTTTACAGTAAATACAGAAGTTATTTATAAAAAAATGTTTCTACTTTGTCATTCGTCAACTTCAAAGTAATGCCTATGAAACAAATGTTTTATTATGTTCAAAACGTACTTTGTCTCTTAAGGTATCGGTACAAGCAATTAAGTGGAACTATCTGTCAGTTCTCCCTGTTCGTGACCCGTGAAGATCCAGGGTAGAATAGGTCTTCAGCAACCCAAGCTTGCCCTAAAAGGCGACTATGCTTGTCGTAAAAGGCGACTAACGGGATCGGGTGGTCAGGCTCGCTGACTTGGTTGATGCATGTTATCGTATCCCAATTGCGTGGATCGATGCTCATGATATCCATCACTGGATTGTCTGGTCCAGCAACATTCCAGCTTCATGACGGCAGCCTGTCAATAATCGAGTTTGGAGACAATCCAGTAATTGATATTACGAGGAACGATCAATGCCGCCGGGGTACGATGACATGCTCAAAGATGCTGACAACAGGATCAATCTGGCGCCTCTTACGAACAGAATATTTTGCTGGGAACTTTCTCCATCCCAAAATCCCCACGTGAATATAAGTTGTATCTATGAAATGAAATGAAAATTCTGAAAATGATATTATAATTGTTATTTCTATTTAAGAAATAAACGGGATTCGAGCCCACAATCCTAGGTTTCTGGCGTGCCGAAGGGAGGCTACTCTGCACAGCGAAACGCGGCGCCTTAGACGACTGGGCCACTCGTGCGCCCAGGTGAGACAATAAGGATAGTGTGTGTTCTCTGATGGTAAAACAACTGAATTCAGTATTTGTTGTACTGGTCGAATATTGAAAACAGCGACTTTAACCAAACTCACTCCCTGCTTACTTACTTGGTTATTCATGGTCAGTGTTGAGTACATTTTAACATCTCAATTACCGGAACGCATTCTTGAAACACGAATACACATGGACATAAATAAATCGTGGATGATTTTTGTTAACTTATCAAACTCAACGTTGCATTCTTTGCAAAACTACGAGTAGAATTTCCAAATCGAACATCTTGGAGGCGGGTGTTAAGTGGAGTCTGTTGATATGTGGCTTCGAACGTATCAATTTAAGGTCACATTGGCAATATTTCATTCATATCGTGCAGACGCGCATTGTGTTGTACATAATATCATAAATATAATGTTGTGTATTGATCACACGTCGCTGTGACATATTTGACGTGGCACGGCATCTTGCAGGTGAGTTATTAGTCTGGGTTAGGGTTAGGCTTTACGTTGTGACAAAATGACGCATTATTGGACGTATTAATTATATAAATATTGAATGAATGAATGTATATTCTATGCCAATAGCTAGCTGACCCTGACCCTGACCTGACCACTAACGGGATCGGGTGGTCAGGCTCGCTGACCTGGTTGATGCATGTCATCGATCCCAATTGCGTGTATTGATGCGCATGAAATTAATCACTGGATTGTCTGATCCAGACTTGATTATTTCCAGACCGCCGTCATATCGCTGGAATGTTGCTGAGTGCGGCCTTAAACAACCAACCAACCAAATCATCACTATTGCCTTTTATTCTCTGTCGCAGTCGTTTTCAATTTATCTCTTTGTTCTGTAAATGCGATGTATAATGAAACTTAGTTTTGTTTGTTTTCCAGTATGAAAATGCCCGACCATGCATCTGAAGGTGATAATCCTCGTCCTATATCTGTGGGCAAACTCAGAACTTGGTACGTAATGTTCTTCTGGAAAAGCGATTGTTGCAAACGTTACCCTAAATATTGCTACAATGTCTTGTTATGTTCTGTAACTTGGACGTAACAGCATGTAGATACCTATTCAGATAAATAGACATGATATGATGGGAGTATGTGTAATGAAAATGTGCATAAAAATACAAGAAATAAGTTTGATGGCTGTCAGCTTCTATTTAGGTTATACATGTCGTGTTATCTGTAAGAAGGAACACCCCAGTGACTCCCGTGAAGACCTGTGTTAGAATTGGTGTTAAGCAACCAATGCCTGTCACAAAAGACAGCTACAGAGATCGTGCGGCCAGGCTCGCTAATTTGGATAAAGTGAGTTAGTGAGTTACTGTGGTTTTACACCGCTTTTAGCAATATTCCAGCAATATCACGGCGGGGGACACCAGAAATGGGCTTCACACATTGTACCCATCTCGGGAATTGAACCCGGGTCATCGGCGTGACAAGCGAACGCTTTAACCACCAGGCTACCCGACCACCCCTATTTGGATAAAGGATGCCATCGTATATCAGTTATGTAGATCCATGCTCATGATGTCAATTACTGAAGTGCCTGGTCGAGTATTTGCAGAACTTCATCATATAACTGAAATGTGACGTCAAACAGCCAGTAAACACACAAACATCATGGGATTTGCAATGCCAGCATATCAAAGCTGTATCGCTTATTTATGTCAATTCAAATTGTACAAATAATGTTATCTTGCTATAATCTCTACAGGTACTTCTGAACTGATCTGCCCAAGTCAGATTGAAGTAGGTTCTACAGCAGACATCACGTGTGTTGCACCTAACACTACAGATAAGCATGGTTACTCTACACCAAATAAGGAAGTTGCTGCTATCTGCCAAACAAACCGCTCATCATGTCAAACCCTCGGCGACTACTCAGCGGCTGTTATCAATGACACCTGCAGCGTTCTGACCATTCCTAGTGTGAAACTGTTTGACGCTGGAGACTGGCGATGTACTGTTTCACCTTCACCTATGTTGACTTGTCACATGGTCGTCTACAGTAAGTACACAAAAATAACGCACTGCCAGCTATACAAGTAAGATACACAATCCAATCTGCCGTTTGTTTTACCTTTTCGCGAACACCTGGTATCATCACTTATTGGAGGCGATTCATAAACACATGATATTCCGGGGACTGGTATTCTTTAGAAATAAGTAGTTAACACGTCCAATTTTTATTTGGCAAACCCAATCGTCCTGATACTCTACGGCATTTGCACAGTCTCGGTCCAAGGTATTTACAAAATTAAACATACTGTTTTCATGGGAACACGCTAAGGAAGGAACAATTAATTTTTTTTTCAAAAACTCAATATTTACACTATGTCGCCCATGGGCAGGCCAACGGGCGAAGAGTGGCAAATGGGCAGGCCAATGGGCGAGAATATTTTCCTTTACTCAAAACTCATGTTTTTGTTTCGCAAATACATAAATGTATTTCTCTCAAGCATCATGACACAAAATTTAACTCATTTTAACTTCATTCAACGATTTTATTGCAATATTGAAATATTTCGCCCATGGGCGAGAAAAGGTTTGGCCCATGGGCGAGAATATTTTCCTTTGCTCAAAACTCGTGTTTTAGTGTCGCAAATACATGAAGGTGTTCTTACAAGTTTCATGTCACATAATTTAACTCATTTTAACTTAATTAACTATTTTATAGCCATATTACAATATTTCGCCCATGGGCGAGAATATTTTCTTTTGCTCACAACTCGTGTTTTAGTGTCGCAAATACATAAAGGTGTTCTTACAAGTTTCATGACATATACTAATTCATTTAAAATTAATTCAACTGTTTTATGGCGTTTACTGTTTTAAATAAAAAAATATATAGATCTGGTTTTGTAGCTGTAACTAAAATATATGAAATCTCGAGACAAACTCCTAGCATATGTTTCAATCATTCCTGTGCGTCAATCATTGTTTACAGAACTCCCCTCATGCCTTGTCATCAGTGATGAAGATCATCAGTCAACTAGGGTGAACTTGACAGGCTTCTACTGCTCGGAAAGAGTACACATCCAGGTGGTGATGGAGAGTTCTGTATGTGAAGATGTGGCTGGGCCTGTCAAAGAAATTACAGATGGAAGCTTTAACTGTGTTAATACACAGCGTGCCTCGGCTGATGAAACCAATGTGACATTCAGGTTTGGCACCGTCCTCAGAAGTTTAAAGTGTGAAGTCAAATGTGAGTTGATAGTTTAGTGTTGGAATTGAGCAAGGCCTCTTTAAGCACAAACATACACTTTTTCGTTTCGCTTCAGAATTCTTTCTCTTTTTGCGATTTGATATTACTCCGTCGTTACAGATGAGGTGTGGTGAAATAGGGATTAACGTAGCGTTCAAGATTGTTGCACTTCTATAGTGAGGTGCATGCATGTGTGTGTCTGGCTGCTTGTACTAGTCCCATTTTATAGTGCTAACCTATGAGATACCATGCCGCTTTTTATCATGAAAACCCTACTCAGACACAGTATACTGACTCCGAGCCGACCAGCCCTTGTTTTAGCCCTTTAATGCCGAGCGCCAGGCTGGGTGACAGCAATTACCATATTTTAACGTCTTTTGGTATGACCCGGCCAGGGATGGAACCCCGGACCTTCCGCTCTCCGGGCGGACGCTCTACCACTAGACCACGGAGGCGGTCCTGTTACAGATGAGGTCAGATGACATCACACAAGATTATATCACTTATATAGCCAGGTGCATGTACGTTAGTGTTGTACTGCTTGTACCAGTCCAGACATGTGCTTGTTGCTAGCTCACTGGATCACTGATGCACTTTGACATGAAAGACCCCTGAGACACATTATACTGACTCCGAACCGACTAGTTCTTGTTTTACGGCATTAGTGCCAAGCACATAGTGGGGAAAGAACAAGTACAATCTACTAACATATTTTGGAATGACGCAGCCGGGAATCGAACAAACGACCTTCTGTTATCCGGACATTAGCTCTATCCACTATATCACGGTGTCGGTCTACACATTCATAGGTTAATGGCCGTTGAGATGCAAGCAGTGAAGCAGGTTTGTTTCAACTTCCAACGCAATAGCGGAAAGTGCATTTCAAAAACCTTTCAAAAGCCGTGTTGTCATTTTTTTCTAAACCCGGTTGTACCAAGTGGGCATGTTTATGTAGTATCTCTTTGGGTGTCCTTTCATTCAATTAGTTTCAATATCTAGACGATATTCAAATTTTTTAAGATTAATTACAATAGTTTTAAAGCTTTTCATGATTACAGTTACGTCTACTTCAGGACCATTTTAGAACCACTAAGTTGTCCATGCATGTTGTTTTCTGACACACTAACAACTTTTTCTCGTCAATGCAGAATTCATGAAATTGTTTGATATGCATGTGTTATCACCTTCCACTCACCACTCCGAAGAAACAAAAGATACACAAATAATAAGCATTACTCATTGAATGTCAACCTTTGTCGGACGGGTTGGAGAATCATATTCTTCATCTGGTACAATCACTTTATCAAATACAAACATGAAAGAAGAATGGTTGCACCATTTCTCATATTACTGACCAATGTTTTTGACTGATCATGGAACAACCGAGCTGTTGAAAAAGGTTAATGAGATCAGATACGATCATACGGGCGTGCATCGTCCTCATAATGGATATACCTTTAGCTGTTTGTATTGGGCATTGTCAAATGTGTCGATCTTATATATCTTTTATAAATCATTGACACCATATGTTTCAGACACTTCGACTGACATTCTTCCAAGTAAAGACACTACTACCACCACCTCTCCTGGCAAAAGGGAACGTCATACTTCAACTGGCATTGCAATTCCTGTAATTATTTTCATCGTCATATTAATACTCATAGTAACCACGATTGTCATGTTGTATAGAAATAGACACACTTTTCATTGTATAGAGAATCGTCCAACGCGGAGGTCTACGGACTCGTCCTACAAGGTTGTCGATAAGAGCAAGCCTATGCCACTATAGCGGAGACAACTTTGAACACCCTGGAATATTTATCAAAGATATCTTGTAGCATCGTGTTTTGACAGTGATGAGTTAGTCAGGAATGTAGGACTATCTAATGTAAGCAGTGGTGTGGACGTTTCTATATTTAGATGCATTTTGGAGTATAAAATATAAAAGCAGTTGTGATAGCAACCTTGTAGGACGAGTCTGTAGAACTCATCATTGTCAAAACACGATGCTACAAGATAACTTTGATAAATTGAGGCGTGACTACCTATTTATGCAAGTATCTAACTATCATAGAGCGCACATATGTGACCCAGAAGGTGAACCAAACTATAATTCGGATGTGAACATGACACATTTGAGTTTAAATACATATGTGACATATAAATAAAAAATAAACACATCATGAAAACAACACTGGTAATATGTGCACAATGACTTCTGAAACATTTGTTATTATTTTCAAGGAACCAGAGGTATGGTGTTGACACAATCAATAGTGGTAAACATTTGAAATATATAAGTGTTTAACTGAATGAAATGGCATAAAAATGTTTGTTGGCACATCATATTGTACGGAAGCGTATTAGGGCCATGGTTAATTTTCTTTTTATCTATCTCCTACGTCGGAGATACTAAGTCCTACGTAGGAGATACTTAGACAAAAGAATTTCACCGTGACCCTGCTACGCTTCTGTATGTTAGCAACATATGTTGCAGTGTCTAGAATTGAATGAGCGAGTCTGGCAGTGAAACTGTGGAAAAGTATGTTTTTATAATGAATATTTTCAAAGTAATAGATGCATTGATGTGATCCTATTTAAGGTTTCTTTAAAAAGTTAAAAAGTTTAAAAGCAATTATTTACATCGTTCCAAATATTACTCATCCAATGGCGCCGTGCAATGAACTTGTACTGTATCTCAACATGAACAATGTTATTCAATTACCTCATCGTTTAACAATAAATTACACATATTATAACATAACGTTTGTGTTGCTTTTATCTCTCAACATGTTAGAATGGATCATACCAGCTTCAGCGACTGAATGCCGACTTATATACACACTGCGAGCGTGATGGAAACAATGCAGTGATCCACCAATGGATTCCTGAAGAACACCCACGAGATACAGTGAAACATTTATGTGTTAAACTTACGTTTGTCTCGAAGTAAAAGCTTGATCCATGAGTATTCCTCTCATCAAGTTGAAGTGTGAAGTGAATTGTTCCACACTCTCACTGGCCTAACAGGGACCACGGAAAATAAATACAGAAATGAGCATTTCATGTGACTTATTCTAGTATTACTTGACATGTGCAGAAAATGGAGAATTGTCCTATAACATACATGATAACCAGAAATCTGTTTTAAATGTATCGAAGATACATAGAGAAATAGAACAGAAAGTACATGATTTCCTTCACAACAGACGGAGATGCGTGACGACATAACTGGAGTAAGTTACTGCATTACTGTAGCGGATTGATCCGGATACAGACCAGAGAATACTTCAACCAGTATACTGAAATACCGTCTATATACAGGGCCTATTATGAGACAAATCGATCCTCCACAATCAACACTAGCATGTACTTGTTACTACAAAACTTGGATCAATACCGTACAGAATGATGTAACAGGTGTGGGATTCAGCTTTATACATGACTAGGACGGGACTATTCACCCAAAACTGAATCACACAAGTATTGTATTCCACGTTACATTTGGTTCGTGCATGTCTGACAGTGTAAGCATGAAGTCACACGTACTTAATGAAATTGTGTAATACAATATAGCTGGGCTTTTGCCGTTCTGCTTTAGATGTTGCAAATATTTGTTTTTGTTTGTTTGTTGTTTTACGCCGCACTCAGCAATATTCCAGCTATATGACGGTCTACCAGTGATTGATATCATGGGCATCGATCCACGCAATTGGGGTTCGATGACATGACATGCATCAACCACGTCAGCGAGCCTGACCACCCGATCCCGTTAGTCGCCTCTTACGACAAGCATTGTTGCCTTTTGCGGCAAGTTTGGGTTGCTGAAGACCTATTCTACCCCGGATCTTCACAGCTCAGATGCTCGTGGACGGCGCTCGAGCTTTCAGCACTGTTTTTATTTTTATAATTCGTGAGCTAGATTCTGTAAACGGTCGTCCTAAAGTGGCATGCCCCACACTCCAGTGGTAAACACATCTGCAATAATGTTGTTAAAAGAACATTACTGCCAAAGCACTTCCCTTGAATTCTCATTGAAAATTGTCTTGTGACTTCCTTGAACAAAGATAACTCTGTTTTTCAGCTCTATAACGCCCGACACGCCTCGAACGGTCTCTCCTGATCTGGCAAACAAACGAGGCCGAATATAGCAGATCGCCAACACGACACTAGCAGTACTGACCGAAACCTATGGTACAAAATGAAATTAATCACCTTAGATATGAGTGGAAAATGAGGTCAAGCCAATTGCTTTCACCTGACCAATCGTGCGTGAGTGTATTCACAGCTTCGGTGTCTTAAACCAAGAACTTAGAATTATATCTTGTCAACCTTTTGTTGTGTTCACAAGCAAACCTGTCCAGTGAAAGTATCCCAAATTTCATTCAGCTCGTAGAAAATTTCACCTCTCACTGATCAGTCGACATAATCCACCGACCTGCTCAACTAATCTGCAGCAACATTCTTATCACTGGGGACCCGTGAAAATCCGGGGTAGACCAATGCTTGCCGTAAAAGGCGACTATGCTTGTCGTATACTGTGTCCATCCAGAGCAGAACATGCTTGTCGAAAGAGTCGACTATCGGGTGGTCAGGCTCGCTGACTTGGTTGATGCATGTCATCGTATCCCAATTGCGTGGACCGATGATCATGATATCAATCACTGGATTGTCTGGTCCAGACTCGATTATTTACAGACCGCCGTCACATAGCTGGAATATTGCTGAGTGCTGCGTTAAACAACAAACAAACTTATCTCTGGAAATCCAATGAAATTAGAGATAAATATTGCTCTCTCTACAGACGTGTAATATATTCAGTGCAATATTGTGCAATTAATCCACGAAACTGCCATTTGTACTAACAGAACAGGCAGCCTGACAACCAAACTTCCATATAGCATTTGATCCGCGAATAAAATCCTTAGATTTTACAGATCGAAGCTCGACCGCCTTTAATTCTCTCCACGTTGAGCTCTTCTTCGATTCCTCTGTTGGCCACACAGAATAACACTGTTCGTCTGTGTTTTTGATATAGGATCCACAACCAGAATTGCTAGCATATAAATACATGTGAAAGGCGAATATCAATCTCGATTAATGAACCTAAAGGTAATATGCTGCATGGTATCCTTCCAAAAGTCTAGTTCAGTGACACAGCCTTGACTTAAGAATAGATGTACCTTATCCCATGAAATTAGCTATCAGTTAGTAACATCTTCTGGTCATAAACCGCGTAATATTACCTACCACTGGCGAGAAAGAAATTAGCTTTCAGGTAATAACATCTTCTGGTCATCAACCACGTAATATTACCTACCACTGGCGAGAAAGAAATTAGCTTTCATGTAACAACATCTTCTGGTCATCAACCGCGTAATATTACGTACCACTGGGAGAGAGAATGATTGGTTTGCACAAGTTCACATACTCACAACCTGTTTGTAATTTCTCTCATTTATTTTAAGATAAACAAAATACAAAAAATTCTAAGGAGTTAAACGCCGCACCCAGCAATATTCCAGCTATATGACGGCGGTCTTTAAATAATCGAGTCTGGACCAGACAATCCATTGATTGATATCATGAGCATCGATCCACGCAATTTGGATCGATGACATGCATCAACCAAGTCAACGAGCATGACCACCCGATTGATCCCGTTAGTCGCCTTTTACGGCGAGCATAGTCGCCTTTTACGGCAAGCATGGGTTGCTGAAGACCTATTCTACCCCGGAATCTTCACTGGTACAATTGGCACGAGGTAGACACTGTCGTAACTTTGGTGGCTGGTGGAAGGGCAGAGACTGCAGCGGAAAAAGTTTTATTGGAAGGGGTTTGTGATGGAATTTGAACTAACTTTTTGGCATCTAAGTAAGAAATATTTTGGGTATGTTTTATCTGTAAGATTTGAGATTCACCGACAAAAATGGGACAGGATTTTGATGAGGCTACATGCTCACCGTGGCAGTTGGCACATTTGATCTGATTTGTGCACTCAGAACTCTCATGAACTCCACTGCAACGGAAGCGCCTTGCCTTGCGAGTGCAAGTTTTGGCCCCGCATCCAAAGTTTTGACACTGGTAACACCGGAGTGGATTTGGAACATAAACCTCCAGTCCGATATTAAAGTAACAAGCTTTTATAGATGTTGGAATTGTTCCGAGGCAGAAAGTGAAAAGATACGTTTGAGTGTTTATGATCTTGCTACTTCAGATTTTCGGGTGAACCACTTTACAGCAGTGACTCCTTGGTGCTTTAATTCAGAAACAATTTCATCTTCTGTCATATCAGAAAGATATCGAGCGCGGTCACGGACAATGCCTCTGCTGGAATTCAGTGTCCTGTGCACCAAAACAACAACCTGGGAGCGCGGTCACGGACAATGCCTCTGCTGGAATTCCGTGTCCTGTGCACCAAAACAACAACCTGGGAGCGCGGTCACGGACAATGCCTCTGCTGGAATTCAGTGTCCTGTGTGCACCGAAACAACACCCTGGGCACAGCAAAAAAAGTGTAGGTTTCCGTCTTCCGACCAGGATGCATGTTGCTAATTCTTATCCATCTTCGACCTCCGCAATTGTCATTTTCATCACACGTAAATTTCCTTTCATTGTACTTATGTTATTATTTCTACGTGTGTCATTCAGGCACCAGGAACTTCTTAACCGTGCCATCGACACTGTAACACAAAAATGTTACCAACCTGAATAATTATAAAGACTTCAACCAGAATCAACTCCCATTCACTTATTGTCATTGGCTTGACCCAAAAGAACTGGTATTTATAAGCAAATTTGTTATTAAGTGAACCTTTTTTCACCCCATAGATAACTGGTCATCCTTGTAAATAAAGACAAAACAAAGTGATGCTCATAATTCCATGTGACTCTTTTATTTAAAAGTCTTCTTTTTAAAGTTTTCGGTCAAACTTCTGTCAATCAATGGGGCATGTTGCATGCAATTGTCTTCCTTATTGAATGGTAAAATTTAAAGTTCCCTTTATTCGCTAAGTGGACACCATCAGGGAGAAAATAAGGAATCTCGCATGTTACACTGGCCGCTGTGGTCCCATATGGTGATATGAGGGTTGTCACCCAACTGTTCCTGGAGAGTCTTGTTAATTGTCCTCATGTTCTTACTATAAGCATTTCTGCTAATGTCCCTGGGCTTCAGTCTGTCAAATAAAGATCTAAGAATCATATGTGATGTTGGCATTGCAGCATTGACATGGGAAGCAAGTCTTTCCATCGCGTTATCAATTTCCCCAGCGCCTTTTGCAGACCTGGTGTCATTCTCGCCTGAAAAAATACAATAGTTGTAAGAAGACTGGTCAGTGGGGTTGGGTGTTATAGGAAGGCTCTTATAAGCCTTTAAGATAAACAAAATAAGCAAACAGTTAACCTAAATAATTTGATCTTTAAGATTAAATTTAATTAAGCCCAATATTAGTTTTCCGACCATGGGTTAATGGCCGGTAATATGACCGGGTATCTTAAGCTAAACCTAATAACAAAATCATCACTTACAAAAGCCAATACATATTGTACTTACCAATCGCATGAAATTTATCCCACAGAATCCTTGAGGGAGTTGCCTCACCTCTTCCATCATCCTGGCTACATCAGCGCCACCTATCCCTCGAATATTCCAGCTATGAGACGGCGGTCTGTAAATAATCGAGTCTGGACCAGACAATCCAGTGACTGAAATCAATGCTTGCCGCCGTCATATAGCTGGAATATGACC